CACCACAAAAAAGACATTATTTCAAACAATTGGCAATATTTGAATGTGGGCTGTACATTAGTTAATAATGGTAAATTATTTAACAGTGCTAATAATCACTGAATCCGGGCAAAGAGTACATGGGTATTCTTTGTACTATTTTAAAATTTTTAAAAATTCTTTTAAATAGAATTTTTAAAAATTTTCGGTGGTACAATTGATTGAACCCAGAGCCTTTCCTATGGTAGGCAAGCACCTTACCACTGAACTACATCACCAACCCTCAAATAGAATTTTTTTAACTACACCAAAGACAGATTTTAAAAAGAAATGCATAGACAAGCCAATTTGGCAAATGCTGATGACAGCTGAATCTGTGGCATTAGGACAGAGGGGTTCATTATGTCATTCTGTTTTGTTGTATGTTTGAGCATTTTGAGCCTCCTCCCTCCCCTAAAAAGCTAAAACACACACAAACTCATACACACAAACCGAACACAGGCACAAATCCTCAGCCTTCCAGACATTCTCTAAATTCCAGGTGCTACTCAGACTATTTACTCCAAACCCTCTTAGCACTTTGCAATAATTACTAGATGTAAAATTGTTGATATTTTTCTAATCCTCTACATGATGTGTTTGCTCCCAAAGATATTGAACATGTTTTCTTACAATGCTTATAAAAAGTTATCAATTAATGCTTTATGCAATAGCCTAAAGAGTTTGGATATGAATTTAATTTTTTTACATCAATTTTTTTATGTACCTGCCTGACACCTTGGTGTATGCCTTTAATCCCAGCGCCTCGAGTTGCTGAGGCAGTAAGATTGCAAGTTCAATACCAGCCTCAGCAATTTAGCAAAGCCCTTAGCAACCTGTCTCAAAATCAAAAAATAAAAAGGCCTGGGAATGGAACTCAGTAATAATGTACCCCTGGGTTCAATTCCTAGTACCAAAAATAAAATAAAATAGATTATGTGCCAGAGAGCATTTTTCAAGCTAGTATTTAATGAATTGATTTTTTAAAATAATTATTTCGGGCTGGGGATGTGGCTCAAGCGGTAGC